GGCCCCCCCAAAGTGCCTGGAGAAACGGCCCCTGGTCTCCGCCGACGGGGCCTCGGAAGGCCCGAGCGCCACCTGAGGGTGGGCCACAGGGCGAAAACCTCCCCGCAGCCGTTTCCTGACGGCGTACGCCGACCCCCCCGAGATCTTCTCGGGCCCCTTGCACCAGTGAGACCTCGCTGCGCGGGGGTGGTCGCATGCTGCCAGCAGGACGGGCAATGCATTATTGGTACGCCATCTGGCACCGAGCTCTGAACAATACAATGACCGTTCACTCGCCAAGGCTGGACACCCTTGCCCCGAAGCAATTCGGGGTCTTCTGAGGCGGGCCCTGGAGGATCCCCAGCAGGAGCAGCAGCAGGCTCGGGAGGAGGGGGGGCCATATCATGGGGCTCCGCCTCAGGAACACCTGGAACCGCAACACCTTGGAAGTCGACAAACCCCAAGTCGATTTTCTCGAGGTAGTCAACTCCCACGTTGTCTCGGGCGCCCGCCGCGGCCATCGAGGCCGGCAACTGGGCCGAAAACTTTGCCGCAAGCCTAGCAATCAAATGGCACCCTTCCACAAGTTCAACATCTGCCGCGGCCCCCGCTAAGGCCGCTCCTCTTTTCGCGAAACTGCATACAGCATTGTTGCCGTCTCTGTCGAACGCCGAGATCTGATCACGCTCAACAGCAGAGGCCGACGCGCGGGCCTTGACGTGCTCGAACGGCCGAGCACAGAAATCCTCTCGCAAATGATCCTGCCCCCACGGGTGGGCTCGCGGGTTGCGTGGAGGCGTGGACGCGCGGGGCGATTGACAGCAGATTAGTGCACCTTTACGATCGGCCCTGCCACAGTACAAACCTAAAAGACTCTGGGAACACATGAGCATCGTAAAATCTTCCCCATCTCGGGCCGTGTCCTAGATTCCGAACTCAGGTGGCGCAGCTCCGAACATGGCGCCGACATAGCGCCTCTCCCTATCGCGGATTACAACACTCCAACCCGCTACCCGCAGGGTCGGGTGATGTTGATCCTGCCCCGAGCCATCCGCGAAAGCAAACCCTCCTTCCAGGAGGTAGGGGAGCTGGAGGGGCCCCGAGGCCCAGCGCCTCCAGCTCGGATCGAAAGGTGGTCAAAACACACGATGGCCAGGCACCGGAAACTAACCTCGCGCGAACCTTTATTTCCAAGCTGGAGGGCTATCCTTGATTCTGGCAGCAGACCTGGACAGCCCCCTTGGCGCACAGTCTCTCCGAAATTGCCCATGACCAAGGTGTGCATAGCATCTGTGAAACAACGAGCCCCTTTCTTCCTGGCATAACTGGCAGACCTCGGGAAACGTCGGCTCACGATCGTGGAGCCTGCCCTGGGCCCAGTGAGACCCTGAAACCAGCTCCCGAAGCGCACTCTGCTAACGGCGGCCCCAGGTCTCCGATCAGTCCGAGAACAACAGTTCCAGGAGGGGCCCCCAGCACAAACTCGCGGTCCACGCTTCCCCCCGCAGCCTGAGAGTCCTAATGTCCGAGGCCTTGCGCGCCGCGAAAGAGATCTAGGTCGCGACGCACGCAGGCGAGAAAAATCGAAGGTCCCATTCCACCCCCCGAGCCTCCACCACCGCCACAGCATCTTTTAATCCCCAGCCTACGCGCTGGGCAATGATCACGGCCGCCGCAACAGGATCCTTGCAAGTCACCCATGGTCGGTCTGTCGCCGCATTCTTGTTGGCAGCGATCACGAGAACCTCCGGCACACCCCTTGATAGCTGTCCTTCGCTGAGGACCTCACAATACTGGCGAACCGAGTCCGATGCGGTCAAAATCAGAGGGTCTCGCCTCCAACCTTGGCGCCCGCAGCCCAAGTGGAGCCCAACAGGCGACCCCCGAGGGAATCCGCCCTCCGCGTGAGCCGCCAGCACTCAGACTGCGGAGACCGGCGTCTCCTAAGCCGCGGACACACGCACCCCGCATGGCGACCGCCGCGGGGCCAGATCGATGGACGCGAGAAGTCACGGCACTCGCCCCCTGGAGGGCGCGCAGCTTGAAAGCACGCCTCCTCGCAGCCAGGTACCCGTCTAGATGAATAGAGACTCGCCGAAAACGCCCGTCCGAAGCGCCCCCCCCAGGTCTCCATGGGCGACCTCCCCGCTGGCAGCCCGCGCAGGGGGCAGTTCCTTCAGCGGCGCTTTGGCCAGCGAGCTCGAATTGGCAAGCACTCCTGCACTATTCCACGAGATGGGCAGGCCCTTGGCCTGCGCCGCTGGTGCCACCGAGTTAAACGCCGCCCCCACCTGCAAGGACACCGTCGTCCCCCCTCCTACGGCATGAAAGGAGACATCATCAATAACATTTTCAATATTCACAATCGAGGCCTCCAAATGGGCCTGCCACAAAACCGCAAGCAAAAGCACCTTGGCCAGCGTCGCGGCGCAGGGGCAGCCTGCGACAACTGCACCGTTGGGCCCCAGGTCCCCCCGTGACCCGCTGGGAAAACAGCGCGCCTTTCAGGGCGATGCAGACAGCCCCTCACGAGGCGATCTGGAAAGCCCACGTGGGCCGCCGCGGACCCGAGCTCCGAATGGGAAATGTTCTCACCGTACTTTTCAAAATCAAGAGAAGCGGAGCCAGATGCCAGGTTCCTCAGCCTGGCGAACGCCGAAAGAGCGTCGTGGAGCCACGCACTCTTGTCGCAGGAGGTAGCCCGCGACTGGCCCCAAAAGAGGTCCGAGGCATTCTGCTTCTCCCGGCCACTGCAGGCCCTCTGTCGGGCCTTGGACCACACGCGCCCAAGGAGAGGAAGCAAACCGATGGGTCGAACGCCTCCCGTCGGCTTGTCGAGAAAATTATAGCATCATCCGCAGAGTTGGGACTTGTGGGTCTCGTTCCCGCGCGTTTAGCACGTCGGCTAATCGCTGCGCAACTTCTGGGGGCAACTGCAGAATGAGCCTCGGGCGGAAGCCGCCCCACCAAGGCCGTGCCCTTCGCGAGCAAATTACAGGCCGAGCGGATATCGCCTGGCGCGATGGGCTCCAAAATCTTTTGGAGCATCCCACAGGCGCGGGCGCCCCTCTGGGGCCCTCGAATCCTGGTTCCAAATCGGGACCCACTCCTCCAACAGCGTTTCGAGGGCCGCGTGGCCCGCCAGAGGGGCGCCCCCTTCCTCGGCAGGGCCCAAAACAAGCCCGGGAGTGGGATCAGGGCCCTTGCTGAACCGATGGGCGACACGGCCTCCCATGAGAACGGAAGACTGCGCAAAATCCTGCCACGCCTGCCTAGACTTCGCCGCATCACTGGACAGCCTGGCTCCGACCTCCAATGAGTTCCAAAAACAACGCGGGAAGCCGTTCGGGATCCTGGAGGCCGCCCACCAAACTGCGTCCTGCGTGCCCTCTCACCGACTCCGCCGAGGCAAAGCAAGGCACGGGCTGACCTGGTCAAGAACCCCCCTGGTCAGCTTTAGTAGCTGCGCGAGAGCGCGCCGCAGCTGAATCCACTTGCCCGCGGCAGCCGTTGCGCGTCGCGCAAGCTCTCGGCCCCACGCCGCTCGGAAAGGCACCATCTGAAACTGGCAGCAACGAGCCCTACGCAGGCACTTAGAAACTTCCCCCTGAAAGAAAATCCCGCGAGGCACTGCCAAGTAGGACTCAGCTGTGTTAAACCACACTTGGGCCGCCTCGAGCGGCCTGCTCGGAAAAGAACCCGCGTCCCAGGACCAGACAGCGCAAGTGAGATCGGGCCCTGGGATTTCAACGCCCTCGGGATCCTGGGGCGGGTCGAGCGGGAACCCACATGGCACTACGCGCTGCCAAACCGTCGCTGGCCCAACGAGGCCCCCCAAGCCCAATGAGGCTCCAACGCGGGGCCCCTGGGCGCGTCGAGAACAGCTTGAACGATCGACGCATGCGGCAACAGGCACTGCGACATCATAAAATAAACAAGCACGCTGCTGTTGCAAGTGCCATCTTCAGGCGCCACGGCCTGGAAGTGCAACAAGCCTGGCCAGTCAGAAGCCACCAACTCGTCCACGGGGGCGCCCCAGTCGCCGCCGACCACAACGGGCCACTGGGACGGTGCAATAAACTCCCTTAAAATCGAAGGCAGGTCTTGGTTCCTCGGGCCCAGACTCTCGTTGGTCGCCAGGTAGGCCGAGACGGAGACGATCTGTACATCGCTGGTCACCGCCACCTGCTGCGCCACAAGCCTGCGCCTCACCCGCTCGGGGAAATACCCCACCAGGTGATTGGGCCAAACCACCGAGCGAGAAAGCATTGCCACGCCACCTGAGTGCTCCAAGGCGTCGTCCCCCGTCGGCACCGCAGCTCCATCGCGCACGCCGCAGCCAACTTTCCCAGCCCATGAAATCGGAAAGGCCGAACTGCCAGCAAGCAACCGCGTCTCCTGCAGAAAGTAGCGGTGACCCCCCCCCCAGCCTTTGTCGCGATGCATCCCCTACATGAACGCCTGGCCAGTCGACCGCGACTTGCAATTGTAGGTGACCACGCAGAGCACATCGCCCACCTCGGCCCGCGCTTGCTGACTCCACTTGGAGCCACCGTCTGAATACAGCAACACCTCTCGCAGCTGCTGCCTCCCGCCAGACCGAGTCTCCGAGATCGCACCCGCCCCCGTCCCTTTCACCGCAGGGGGCCTGACGGCAGCGGGCGCCAGGTGGGGCGGGGGCGGGGGGGGGCGCGGCCTGAGGCGGCTGGCGCTGCCGCAGCTTCGGGATTTCAAGCGGCCACCCCAAGCGCATGTCCGTCTCTGCGTCGACCGCGCGGCCGGCCCCCCTGCTCCAGAAACGCCGCGGCGGCAGGCCCCCAGGACGCCGAAGCCTCCGCGGCGGCGGCGTCGCTGCCGGCGCCTGCCGGCGCCCGAGGGGGCCAACGCCGCAGCTGCCGAACTCGATCCACCCGCGACCCTCGGCGCCGACGGCGGCGCCGAAGAAGAAGTGCCCGCGGGCGCGGGGGCACGACGAGCAGGGCCTGAATCCCCCGCCCCCGCGCCCAGAGCCTGGCCTCGACCTTCGCCGAGCCGCCGCATCTCATCGCGAATGCGTTCCAACTCACTCCAGTGTCTAGCCTCTTCTTGGGCTCGCAAGGCCAAGGACTGGCCCTCGAGCCAGCGCAGGTAGTCCACGATGTTCTCGCGATTGGTCCTGCTCGAGCCCCGCGCCACCCCGCACATGTCCTCCGCCAGTTCCTGGAGAGAACGCCCATCGAGCGCATCGTGCACCCAGTGAACACGTCGGGGCCGCCGTAGCAACTCCATCGTCGCTGGCACACAGGCCGCCATCCAGCTGGACTCGCCGGCATGGGGCTCGGCCAGAAGCGGCATTCAGCGCGCGGCTGCCGCGTCGAGGCCGCCCTAGAAGGCCGCGTCGGGCCCGTCGAACTCGTGGTCCGTGGGCGGATGCCCCATCGCAGCAGGCGCAGGCTGGGATTCCGCCTGGGCGCCTGCCTTGATCCGAGGGTGCCATCGCCCTGCCATCCGCGGGCGGCCCGCACTGGCCTGGGCGCCCTCACCCCCGAGGGAATGGGCCCCCTCAGGCCGCCGCACCTTCGGGGCCCCCGGCCCGCCGCAGCTTGCCCTTACCGTCGCGAGCACGAGCGCGCACATTAGGACCCGCGGGAGCAAGGCTCGGGGCGGCGCCGACCTCAACCACCTCGGGCTTGGCAGAAGCAGCGGTCGGCGCCCCCGTGCCGCCCCCTTCGGCTCCTGCATCGCGAGCAGCGCCGTCTGCTGCCTTGCGCTTCTTGGTGAGTCGAGCGCACTGCTTGGTGCGCTCTGCTTTAAGCCTGTCCAGATGATCCTTTGCTGGAGCAAACAGAGACTTGACATTCTCGACGATGAGTTATTCCAACTGCTTGTTGCGCTGCTGAGGTTCCTGCTTGTCTCCATCCGATAAGTCATATTCCTCCTCGCCCACCTCGAATAGGTCCCCACAATCGACCTTGAAACTTTCATCCAAGAGAGTGTCGGGTCGAGCCCCTGCCGCAGGAGGCTCAGCATGTGGGGGAGGGCGACAGGCTTCGTAACTGAGCTTGGCCCTGAGAGCCGCAATCCTGCCGTCGAAGCCATCGAGCTCCTCGCTGAGCTCTTGGCTCTTCCCGCGCTGCCGAGCCAAACTCTTCTCCCATGTATCAGCCAACTCCAACTCTGTCTCCATATTCTTAATGTGGGCGTCTCGCTCATCCACCAGCTGAGAGCGTTGCTTCTCAGGTGGCAGCACAGCAGGGCCAGCAGCCAGACGGTCAAGCTCAAGAAGGCGGAGCCTGCACTTGTTGGCCACCGGGTCGAGGGACCGCTTGCTTGCCAAGGCCATTAGCTGCTGGACCTCCTCACACTGCATCATATGAACGTTGCAGGCAAAAGGATCTGGGCAAGCGAACTGCGGTCCTGCGCGAAGAGGGGGTGCGCTCCTTTGCCTTCACCTTCGCCCTTGCCACTGCCTGCCTTACCGCCAGCATCGATTCCCCCTTCGTCTCGAGCACGGCCATTGCGCCAGCGGCCAGGTTTGCCCGACTGCTCGGGCTGGGAGACTGCCAGCTGATGTGTCCACGGTTCTCGAGACGAGAGAGCTGCTCCGCATTGAAAACAATTGTTTGCCGACTTACTGTTTTTGCCCCAGCCGCACTTCCAACTCTTGAAAAATTCAGGTTTTGCCGCTGCGAGCTTCCACTCATCGGCAGCAGCAGGGCGATAACGAACCCATGGAGCATACTGTTTGGTCATGCGAAGCTGCACACCTCCGAGACTGTGGCAGTGAGCGTATGTAAAAAAAAAGAAGAGCCTCCAGCCAGGGCACGCTGAGAGGGAGGCCCTGAGCAGCCGGGGGCCGCAAATCCCCCCACGCCACAAAGTCAAGTTCGGAGCGAAACCGCTACGGACTTGAGACAAAATGGCTACGGAGGTGGATGGAGGAGGAGGTGGGAGGAGGAGGAGGAGGAGGAGAAGAGGAGGAGGAGGAGGAGGAGGAGGACGGGAGGAGGACGAAGACGACGACACGAAGACGACAACGACGACGACGACGAGGCGACTGCGGCGGGCTCATCAGGAGCACGAGTCTGAGTTCGGCCGAGACTGAAAACAAACAGTTAGCAATAGTTTCTCGAGTGCACGTATAGCGGTGCTTCGCACGTGGG